CTATCCAAGACCTCAATGTTCTCGCCACAGGCATGCACAGACTGAGCATCGACATCCAAAAAGTCCCCAAATTCCTGAACCTTGGTCTTGGTCCAGTTGACCGCGAGTCCCAATGGCTTTGCCTCCTCATGCAGCGCCTCGAGAGCTACTTCCAGGACCTCTAATGTCTCCGCTAGAATCACTGCATCATCGGCAAAGTCAAGGTCTGTGACCTTGAAATTACCAATTGATGCCCCACAGAAACTACGGTTCACGGTACGGCCAAGTATCCAGTCCATACAAGTGTTGAAAAGGGTTGGGGCCAGAACACATCCCTGTCTCACCCCGGCAGACACCGGGAAGAAGGCAGAGATGCCCTCCCCACACTTGACAGCACTCTCAGTATCTGTATACAGGCCAGACAGCAAACCAATAATTCCAGGGGGGATCCCACGGAGACCCAGTAGGCTCCAAAGTCGAAAGCCTTCTTGAGATCAACATAAGCTTCAAGCATACCCTGTTGAAACTCAAGTCGGCGTTCCACAAGGACACGAAGTGCTAAGACACGGTCTATAGTTGACTTCTTGGGTGTAAAACCAGACTGCTCAGGTCTCTGTGCTCGTAATAGGTGGTCGCGCACTCGTGCCAGAAGCAGATGAGCGAGGACCTTGCCTGGTACGCTGAGCAATGTAATACCTCTGTAGTTGCCACAGTCCTTTTGGTCCCCTTTCCCTTTCCAGATAGGGATGACCAAGCCCCTTTTCTAGTCAGGGGGAATGGTACCAGTCTCCCAAACGGCAGACAGGACTGCATGCAAACCACAGATCATGGCTTCTCCACCCGCCTTCAACAACTCTGCAGCAATCCCACAGACACCAGCAGCCTTTCCACTTTTCAGCTTAGACACTGCCCTTCTCACCTCTTCGATGGAAGGTGGTGCCTCACTGATTGGTGGATCAGCCACTAGTGGCTGTGTGCCAGCCAACGGGAGTTGTGAAGACGGGGGATCTACCCTATACAGTTGCTCAAAGTACTCAGCCCAGCAGGCCCTATACTCACCAGGCTCTGACACAATGCAACCATCCTCTGCTCTCACTGAGCCCAATTGAGAGATGGACTTTGATTGGAGTTCCCTCAGGGCTCGGAAAGCAGGTCGAAGGTCATTTTGGGCAAAATGACCTTCCAACTCTTCCACGATGCCCCTTACGTACCTCTCTTGGTCCACTCTCAAAGAGGCCCTAGCAGAGCGAGACAGCTCCCTGTGCAAGACATGGTTCCCATCTAGTCTGGCAGCACGACTTATCTCTATAGTGTTCAGTGTCTCGTCTGAGACAACACACCTCCTTCGCCGAGGTCGGACACCAAGGCACTCCTCGGCAGCTGACAGAGTTCCTCGCTTAAAGGTATCCCACAGTTCAGCAGGGTCCTGTAGAGTACCAAGCACTTCAAACCGATTTGAGACTGCCATTGCATACTCCTGAGCCACCTCCTCACTCTTGAGCCTCTCGAGATGGAACACCTGCTGGTGAGATCTCGGGATGCGTCTAGATCTGAGGCGGAGCCTTAGTGTTGCGACAAGTCTGTGGTCGGTAGCAAAGAACTCAGCACTCCTAAAAACTCTACAGTTCTGAAGGATCCTCCAGCGAGTATCCACGAGAATATGGTCGATCTCTTTAGCTACAACGCCAGTATTGGAGTACCAAGTCCAGCGGTGTAGATCTCAGCTCTGGTACCACGAGCCCGCAATCCTCAGCCTCCTAGATCTTGCGAAGTCTAAGAGGTATGATCTATTGATGTTCCTAGTACCAGAGCCATAGGGACCGATGCATAGCTCGTATCCTTCCCTGTCAGTGCCAGTGACTGCATTGAAGTCCCCCAAGACCATGAGGGTGTCCCCCCGGGGAACATCTCTTTCTCTTCAAGCCCACTTCCCTCAGTAGGAGCATAAACTGCAACTAGAGACATGAAGCCCAAAGTGTGCTTCATTCTCACAAGCAGAATACGTTCGTCAACAGGGGAAACCTTCTTGACTGAGGAACGGAAGCGGTCAGAGACAGCCACCGCGACTCCCCTAAGGCGCGCACCATTGCTACAGCCAGACCAGTAGTAGGTATAACCCCCACTACTGGTCTCACCACAACCAGGCCGTCGCACCTCAGAGAGAGCAGCCATGGCAATCCCCAGCCTCCCCAGCTCCCCCGACAACAAAGGCAGTCGATCATCCTCCAAGAGACTGAGGATGTTCCAGGCCGCTACACAGCACGCTCGCCGCAGATTGACCCCATTTGTGGGGCTCCGGCCGGGCGACGCCTCGGCACAACCAGGCATGCCTCCCAAAGAGGAAGAGTGGGGGCCGGGGGGGCCATCCCCCCCACCACGTAACCTCAGGGTGCAGGATTCCCTGGGAGGGCTTTGCCCTACACCCGTCATGACAGGCTCGTCGTCCTGATCAGGTAAGCCCCTGGTCAGGACGCCGAGCCAGGGATCAGGAACCCCCGGCCGCAAATCGTGGTCGGAGTCACCTCCTCCGGGATGGCTCCGACCCCTTCTCTCCTTACTTGGTTTGCCTGCTGGTAAGGGTTTTTACGGGACCGGGTTGCCAGCCCGACCCCAACTGCTAGCTAGGGGCAGGGACGCAGAACTCCCTAGGGACAGATTGCCCCTGCTACCCCATCGCGTGTTAAAAAAATCCTACGCGTCGGGACTTCGGTTGCGCAACAAAAAAGGCATTTCATATTTAAAAGTGCATATATATACCTATATACATACATATATGTTTGTGCATATATATGCGTGTGTGTCTATTTACACACAGATACACACACACACTAAAGTACTGTGGATCACCTTTGAGTACACGTTATTGTGTTTGTTTGCGTCAATTTATATATATACATATATGTGTGTGTGTGTCTATGTATACTTATATTTGTACATATGTATACATATGTACATAAATATATTTATACACATATATATGTGTATATATACATATACATTTATATACATACCCACATTCATACATACATACGCCGACCACCAGATTTACCTCTTGATTTTTAATTTCTATAAAAAGAGTTTCTAAGCAATGCTCCATAATAGTTAACTCTGGCCGTAGTTGTGAAGCATGGCTAGGTTGGATTTTCAGATCAGGATACAGCCACTGAGCGAGAGTCACGTCCCACAGCTGAGGGTAGAAATCAAACAACTCTCGTCGACTCTCCTGCTCCACGTTCTGCCGAAGTATATCCTGAAATGTTCTAATTTCTTGCTGTAGTTGCGGCAGTTCGTTCAGTGTCAGTAGCTTGGAGGGGCTCTCTGACTTTCCGCAGGAGGTCCCGAAAATCCTGTTTGATTCCCCAGATCTCGTCCCGAAAGATGTGGGGTCGGATCCCGCGTCGGTTCCCGGCCAGTCGAAGGATCCTGGAGAATAAGCAGCCGAGCTTCCTCAATTCCTTCGTCAGCCTTTGGTCCGACATCTGCTGCACGTCATTCGTGTGTGCTATGTTGTTCCTCTTCTGCTTAACCTTATACAGGAGGTGCTCTAGAGGCTGACCTGCCGGGGGGAGGTCCAGGCAGGGTCATTGGAACCAGCCAGTCCACACATGAGTTGGAGAATGATATAGAGCAGGGAGATGTCGTACTGCTTAAACGGGGCACCGTTCTCTAGCAGATTTCTCTGTTCGCTGTTAAACTTCCGCTTGTAGTCTGTTCTCGCGTTTCCCAAACTAAGGAAATGACTCTTGACACACGGCCCCCCTTGGTACAGCCACTCAACCACCTGCACAAATACCTCGCGGCCCCTGGTGATCATAGCCACCTGGTACCGGAAGCCATTCACCGTGTGCCTTGTGAGCTGGATAGGGGCGCGGGGGGGGTCGCTGCGGGGCTGCCATCCTCCCTGAATCTCCAGGACCCTTTCGGCCTCCGCTTGCCCTGCCCTGTGTCCTGCGTGGGCGAGAAGACAGCTGATTCTGCGCCGGAGATGATGAATGCCTTTATCAGCGCATCAACGATTTATTTGACTGCTCTTCCTTATTCCTTTATTCTTTATAGTATTCCTTTATCTGAAAAAGAACAATAACGTCAAACGTGGAATAAATAGGGAAACTTAAGTGAAATGCAAATTAATTTTCTTGGCATTCATCTAGTATCCAAAGGTCGCATGCTTGTATTAATATAAATATGTGTGTATATATCTATATGTATACGTATTTATATATATATATATATATATATATATATATATATATATATATAAATGTACTGTACATATACATATATATGAATATATGTAGGTATGTATATACACAAATACACACACTCACACACGTCCGTGTTTATATCTATATCTATACATTATATATATATATATATATATATATATATATAGATAGGTAGACAGAAAGACACACACGCACGTCCTAACACGTGCGCGAACAGACACACATACGCACTTACACACACGTGCGCGAACACACACACATATATGAATGTGCATATATACATACATATATATGTAAACCCATATATATGTGCATATATACATACATATATATGTATATCTATATATACATGTATATACATATATGTGTGTATATATGTATATATATATATATATATATATATATATATGTGTGTGTGTGTGTGTGTGTGTGTGTGTGTGTGTGTGTGTGTGTGTGTATGTATGTGTGTGTGTATGTATGTGTGTGTGTGTGTGTGTGTGTGTGTGTGTGTGTGTGTGTGTGTGTGCATATATACCTACATATATATGTATATGCATATATACATGCATATCTATAGATACATATATATACGCACACACACACACACACATATATGTATTTATATACTTGTATCTACATATGTATATATATATACATGCATATATATACCCCACACACATACACAGACATTTATGTGTGTATTTATGTATATAGATGTATGGATATATATATATATATATATATATATATATATATATATATATATATATTATCATCCTCATCATCAGCCTGAGATGTAGGCTTCTCCCAATATTTTCCAATTTTGTCTGTCTTGCATTTTTTGTTTCCGGTCTTGGCCCCAAAATTTCGTTATTTCGTCACGCAATCTTGTGATTAGTTCAGCCCTTGGTCTCTTTATGATATCTATAACCAAATCTGTTACCATCTTTGTCAATCTGTTGTCCTGTCTTCGACATACATGACCTGTCCATTGAATGTTTTCTCTTTGATGTTCCCGATTATATCTTCCACTTTTGTCTGTTCCCTGACCCACGGCGCCCTCATCCGATCTCCTAGACTAATTCCCAGCATCAACTTCTCCATCCCTCTCTGTGCACTTATTAGTTTCCTCTCCAGTAATTTGGTTGTAGTCCATGGGTCCTGGACGAGAGCAGCCAAAGTGCTTTCGACGAAGTAAGGACAATCTTCCTGCCGTATTCCCTTGATCTCAATGTGTATTACATGTTTTTCATTCACTATATTGTTTAGTTCCATCAGACAACTTGGTCTAGTGGTTATCACAACACGCATGTTTCCTTGGTACGTTGCAAGATCAGTCACAAGTTTCTTTGCCTCTTCGGTAACCTCATCGTA